AGCAGTAGTAGCAGTAGTAGCAGCAACAGCAGCAGCAGTGGTGGTGGTGGTGGTGGTAGTAGTAGCAGCAGCAGCAGCAGGAGTAGCAGTACTAGTACTAGTACTAGTACTAGTACTAGTACTAGTAGTAGTAGTAGTAGTAGTAGTCGTGGTGGTGGTGGTGGTGGTGTCTAAGGCAGACATATCTGGACATGCTCTTGGCGCAGCTGCTGGTTCTCTTCCGCCGAGAGAGCGGCAGCGTCCCTCCTGCTGCCCTCGCTGCTTTGGCAGGCCCAATGTCCCGACAGCGGTTAGGTGTTGAGTCTTATTCTGGGAGGGGTCTTGTTTGTATCCTGTCCGCGGTGTCGTAGGGTGTAGGCCGACCCTTACAGCCTTACAGCCTTGGATTAAACGCAGAATCCAGCGAATGCTGAACCTCAAGCCTCGGCCTGCATGAAGCTACACAAACTTGGGAGCAATGGTATGATCCTGATGTCTCCGCGTGGGTGTAGCGACTTGGGACTGCATTTGCATGAGAGCCTGGTGAGGTCAGGATAGGCAAGCATGGACAACGTGAATTCTGAATTTATCATACATGGATGCTCCATGATGACTGGGCAATGCATTCTGGAAGCCGGAATTCATTCTGCGTGCGATTGAGTATCCTAAATTTGTCTGCACGGAATATGGCAGACTGCAAGAGAGAATGTGCGCAGACTAACTGAATGAGTCTGGCATGATTGATACCTGGATGTTGGAATTTAGGCGATGTCACTGGCTATGGTTGAAAGAGCCGTGTACATGGAATCTACTGCATGGATTGACATAGTCCCTGCCTGGCTCAGATGACACACAAGTAGGTATGTGCAGGACTCTGCAGCTTGTCAGTGAGGTGTAGAGTTACGTGTTGCCTTGAAATTTGGATTCATATACAGTCCAACAGCTAGGATCATGAGGAGACACTTATGAAACAGTTTCGTCGGTGTGGGATGAGTATGAATATGTGGCTTGGGGCTTATCTAAGTATCATGATTAAGTTGTTGTCCGTACTGTATGCCTGCCGATGATGAAGAAGTCAGTAGCACACCAGAGCAGAACTGACGAAGTCGTTAGATCAGGGGCCTTTGGGTGGTCTCATGGTTTAGATGGTTCTTGGTGCTGCTCATAGGGTCTATGGCTTCTCTCGCGACATGGACGTGTGTGGCTGCCTTGTGCGAGAGTGAGAGTCGAAGCCGAGGCTTTATCGGCAGCTTGCACGAAGTGGGGGTCAGTGCGAGGCCGGGCCTATCAGTTGGCTCGTTGCCGTGGTTTGGGGCTTTCTCGCAGGTGGTAAAGACTTAGATTCTTAGATGGCTAGCATGGCTTGGGCATGGGGTGTATGTAAGTCTCTACTATAGCGTGTTGCTTGCATTTGTGTTGGAATCAGGAGCGGGTTGATCATCTTCATGTGGCTCATCTGCCGAGTTCGGAAAGTCATGTCGAAGGCTTTTTGTTCTGTGTTTGGCCAGCCGCGCATGTAGAAGTCGATTATCGCAAACTTCCGAAGCTGATGGTTTTGGAAAGCTCCAGGCGAGGCGCAAGCAGCGCAAGTTGCGCAGCCAACCGCCGCTGTCGCTTGCCCGCTTATGCTACCTCAGTTTCGGAGGATGTGAACTGAACTGTTTTGAGGCGTATTGAAAGCAGTGGGCAGCAGCTGGCACCATTGCCAAGACAGACAGCCCCATATCGAGGTCCAGTTTTCCCACATTCCTTGCCAAGGCATAGATACGCTTAACGAGCTGATTCTGCGGCATGCTGCTGAATTTGTGGAGGAGGAGCCAACAAGCAGGTCATGATGAAGTAAGTGTAAGAAACCAGCTTCGAGCAGCGGCAGCACTGCAGCTGCCCGTTCGCAGGAACTGGCCACCGTTGGCAGCCCCTACCTGCTGACGTTCATGGACGATGTGATGCGCCGGACAATCTTGAGAGGCAGCGGGTCATGCGAGTTATTGGATGCGCATGGCCTCCCGTGCCTGGTGCAGGGCGTCACCGGGTGCAATCAATCTGCTTTGCAGCCTGCGCACACAGAAGCATTGCCCCTGACCCCGTGCCAGGCGCTGCAGAAATTGGTGCCGGCCTTCTCCCCGAGAGCCAATCCTGGGTCACGGCGGCCCTGGTCCAGATGGAAGAAGCAGCCACTTGGACTGCTGCATGTGGTAACAGTTAAGTAACACTGGATGAGATACCGACTTGTTGTTGCACCACTCGCCCAAAACCCTGAAGCCCCGGCCGGAGCAAAGGTAGGTCTGCACATGCACAGGTCCGGACAAGTTCCTTCGCCTTCATCGCCAGCCTCCCCGACGAGACCAAAGACTATTTGATGAAGCTCAAGGCGACTGCAGCCTCAGCTTCTCAGACACAACAAGAAACAAGCCCCGAGCACATCTCAGATCCATGCTGCGCAGATATCAGGCTTGGCGGACAACACAACTGCTTCAAAGGGCGCTCTCTGGAAAAGAAAACAAAATTTGCAACAGGAGCATACCACTGGCCCAGAAACGACATACACAAAGACAGAAGCTGGTTACTGTCCACACCCGAGAAAAGGGGTGTATTGCATGTTTTTTTCAAATGTTGGGGCCTCAGGCATGGAGGGGTGGCCTTTGAGATTGACTGGTGGAGCAGTTCGTGCTGCAAACCTCAGCCCCATTATGCTTTCGATCCAACCAAGGCCGCTTCAGACCCTACGGAAGTCGTGAGCCAGGCTTTAGGTCGACATCTGCAGGCTCAAGAGGAGCCAGCAGCTGCCTGAGCATGTGATGGAAAGCCTGTGCCCAGCCATCTTTTCCAGCAGTCCTCAACCTTGTACATGGTGTATGCAAATTTCCGTTAGCTTGTCAAAGCAGAAGCTCATGCTCACGTCCAGACGTGGCAGTATCACCATTTGCGCAAGGAAATGGATCCTTGCAGGGCAAGCCGCCGATCCGCTCAATGCAGAAAGCAAAATAGACAGCCCCAATGATAACAGGCAGCGATAGGGTAGAAGGGTAGACCGGCACTCGGCACTTGCCGTCACAGCGATCGAAAGAGAAAAAACAGTTGTAACTGTTCACGCGCTTCGAGCAAGCAGCAAGAAAGCACCATGTTCTGGAAGTACCCCAAAGTACAGGATATTATATACTATTTACATATATTATATATGTATACATATGCAGATATATACCTATATGTATATATATATAGCATATGTCCTATGTCGCCGTATGACCTCCCTTTCGAGAAATCTTGGCAATGTGGTACTGTCTTTAGTGTGCCCGCCCCCAACCATGTCTCGGCGGCCTGATTATTCTGCTCCTGCCTTCTTTCCGCGGACACCCGGGGAGGAGATGTGTTCGCTTCATGTTTTTGGATGCACAATCGACTGAGCCTGAGGCCTGGTGATGTGGTACATGAGCAGCAAGGTAGTACAGTAGAAGTACAAAAGTAGTACAGCCAGGGTTTAGGGGTGAAATTTCGATAGCAAACCCCGATCACTCCCAGATGACTACCAGGACTAAAAAGCCCTTCATGTCTAAGACTTTTCCATGATCCACGGGCCTGGGGCCGGCAACACTGAGTTTTCTCCAGCCTCTTGCCATCCTCTTCTCAGTTAAGACGGAGAATGAGCAGAAAGCAAACAGGCAAACCCAGAATCCGCCGGGCCAACAAAAAAGCACATGATGGATTTTCGCCCGAAATTCTAGCCTGAAATGAATAAGCCCCGGAAAAAAGGCATCAAAGAAAGGTCACCCAATTAAAGTAAAGACAGCACCACACTATCAAGATGGCAAAGAAGTCCAGTCTAGTCCAAGTGAAAGATCAATTTTGTTCGTGTGTCTTTCGTTCCACCGGATCTACCGACTCTCCGTAAAGCCGAGGTGGCAGGCCGAATCAGATGCTGCTTTGCGACTGCGCTATGCGGCTCCGACTCGGCCTCTCAGTGGCACGGGATTTGATGTTCGTTGAAGGTTCGCCACATATCAGTCGTGCACCGCAAGACATCGGTAAGGGTACAGAGCGTATTGCATGTTGTCTGGTGATAATAAAAGAATGCATTCTGGGAGCGCGTGAGGCTTGCAATATCCCAGGAGGACTGCTTGGAAGGTGTGTTGCTGCCGCCACTCAGCTCCGGTTTTGCAACACAGCCTTTGAGGCTTGTGATGCGCCGTCGGCCTGCTCACGGAGGTCCGTCATTCCCAAGTATGGCTTGAAGTACCCGTTGTCCCTAAACTCCGGGTGTTCGGCCGTGAGAGCCCACACCCAGGATAGCCAAAGCTTCAATCAAGGACACGCCCTGACAGAGCCTGTCATTTTGTGTGCAGGTTTGGGAAGCCCCGAGTCGCCGCAGTTCACTGCCACTCGCCTACCTTGGCCTTGGCTTCAGGGCCGATGAACTTGGGATGGTCGGAGCACATTGAGGATCGAGGTCGTAGATAGGGTTCACGGGCTGTTCAGTACGTAAAGTGCATGCTCGCCGCTTGCAATAATGGCCTGAAGTTTTGGCAACTTACAGCGTTTCAATGCAGTTGAAGTCGAAGCAGAGACCTCCAAAGCCACAGAGGCGGCCGCAATGGAGTAGAACTGCTATCGGTTATCAGCAGATAGCTGCACCCATCCGAACTACTCAGCCTGTGGAGGATTTACGTCCAATACAGAATCCCGCGTCCCTACGCATTGGCGAACAGACTGTTCACATGGTCACAGAACCGATTTTTTGAACAAGACAACTGTCTGCTGCTTGGCTTGTAACATCAGTGTTATGCAGGGAAGGCTAAAGTCACTGCAGGTGCCATCTAATTCGACGGAGCAAGAAGGGATGGAAGCAGTGGATTGCTTTGGGCCCAGGACATAACACCATCAGCCACTACGCGTCCGGGCAGCGTAGAGCTGCGGCTGGATATGCGTCTTGCCGCACTGAGCTTGAAGTGTAAGTCTTGAGCATGCCACATGACCTTCTGTTTTGCCGTGCAGTTTGTAATCACGATCAGCCTTGTAGCACCGGATGTCGCTTATGGATCTTCCTGTTTTTGGAAACTGAAGCCAGAGACCTGATGCAGCAAAGCCTCATCTCTCATCCTTGCGCTCCTCTTTGTGCAGCCAACCATGTTGATGCCGAGCTCAGCTCTAGGAACATCTTCTAAGGTGGCCACTGACCGCGCGGCTGCTACAAGGCCCGAGCAACGGAGCGAATGAGCGCTCATCGAAACCCGGCCCGTCCAAGTCGAGTCGTAAAGCTGAGAGTGGGAACTTCAGCCATGTGGAAGTCGGGTTCCACCATTGGACCGACATGGGGCGCCCTGAAGCGTCCTCGAGTCTGGTGCATGCGTCGATATGCAGAGGCAGGGTACCAGCCAGAGCAAGAGGCAACAGCCCGAGAAAGCTCGAGCCTTGAAGTACAAGGATTGCTTGCGAGAGGGAGTCCATCCTCTCCTCGAAGCCCGAACCCCAGTGTAGGATTCCCATTTAGAGAAATGATTATGATTTCCTAAATACTTGTTATAATGATATAACCGTTCAGAACGACAGCGTTTCAATATTTCATAAAACTTACATGATACACGAATTTCATAACATAGCATAAGCCATCAAATTTTTTGATATAAATACACACCTTTTTAAATGCGTCCATCATGGTACATCTATATAGTGACCTGCTCCTCTGGTTTGGTCATATTTATCATAATGTATTGTCAGTTTATTAACTTTCTGCTCTTAAACCTGATTTTTAAGTTGATTTTTCAAGAATAAGTATGATGTCCCTTCAAGCGTTATGAACTGCTTTATCCAAATCCTCTTCATTTGACCTATTATATGTTATTATTATTGATGTTAATATATCTTCTCCGTGTCCGTTCTCATCTAACCTATTAACATCTTCTTGCTTGGAATTCAGCATTAACAGTTTCTTACTTTTTTTCGTGTGTAAGAACTCTTTTAATCTGGGTTTCTGACAATGAAAAATAAATAAGTATATATATATATAATGTCCTAAACCCAAACCCCGTCTTCTCAATATCAACTATTGAATAACTATTACGTAGCACATCCCCCTAAAGCACTAAACAGATTGTCACTTCTTTTTCCGACTGTTGAAATAGCATATTCTTGATCATGCTTGTCTTGGCCGTGGCAGTGGCAGGCGCGGCGTTGCTCTTGGCTTTGGCGCTGGGCCTCGGTGCCTTCAGCTTTGGTCTGGTCGGGTTTTTGCCGCCAGCCTGTGGACTGCTGGGCTTGTGCACCGCCACACGTGGCCGGACTGCACGTTTAGAGCCGGTGGATGGGCTTACAGGGTTGGCCTTGGGATGGTCGTAGAGATCGGAATGCTCCATAAACAGTTTGCACCCAAGGCTGAGAGATGTTTGGCATGGGCTGTCGGTATGAGTGGTTCGGGGGATCGGCTGGGTCTGTCGGCTACCTCCGCTGCGTTGGACGGTGCTGTAGACTTTTGGGTTCCAAAGAAAGCCAGGCCCCCAGCTTCTTGTCCATGTCCCTGCCCTCACCTTCCCAAACTCAGCCTGTTTCACGCTGCTTCGAGCTACCGCTGCTGTATCGCCTGTGATCGACAAGTTAGCGACGGTGCGAACCCTGTGCAAATAGACTAGGAAGGATTTTCGACCATGAGCGACTGAGCATATCGACATGGATGAACAAGCGAAGCATCCTGAGCAGCAGACAGCACACTCAGCCGTCCAAACCAAGACCATTGGTCTAACTGCCTGCAGCCCTTGGCAGTAAGTGTCAGAAGCAGCAAAGAAACATGACAAGAGCACATCTTGGTTGCTCCAAAGCTTTTCGCAGCCGCGGTTACGGACTGTCCTAGATTGAAGAAAGGCTCACTTCTGGTGTATAAGGCCTGAAATCTCCCCCCCCCCCCGGCTTAAGGAAATTCTGCTTATAACTGATGCAGCCACGAGCGGAAGGTGTCGCACCAAGTCTTCGTGCCTCACGTCTCTCTGCATCAGCCGTGCCGCTGTTTCTGTCGGCAGTGGCCGCGGCTACTGCGGGGGCGCTGCACTGCCAGGCCGGAAACATGATCAGATAATTAACATGTGCATGCACTGCTTTGAATCGAATGACTCCAACTAGACGCTTTCGCGTCAACTCGCCCATCTTGTTATACCTCCATCCAGTTCATATAAGCTCACATGTACCTATATGTACATGTATGAGAATGATGTATATGCATCACTGTAAGTAAATGTGTGCGCGTGCATGCATGTATGCATTTAAACATGCGTACATACACATATATACAGATATACCTGTAGACAGAACTATACACTACACACATATTTACAACAATATGTATGTATGTATGTATGTATGTATGTATGTATGTATGTATGTATATGTGTATATATATATACAAACACACGCACACGAATATCATGTTTATATTATATATATATACATATATATACATATATATATACATGTATACGCATGCGTTCGAGTATGTATACAGATGGAGGGATGGATGGAGCAAGACTGACATTCTGCATGGTTTTTTTGAGGATAGAGTAGATGTTTATAGGAATTGTTGCGTGTGTGTGTGTGTGTGCAGATCAAGCACCATCACAATCATACGAAGGTAGCAGTACAGTTGGAGATATGCGCGCGCTGCAGGCCTTAGGTAGTTTTTGTGTGATCAGGTGGGTAAGGTGGGCGGGTCGGCGGCATCTTGCTTTGGCCACCCAGGCTGTTGCAGCTTTTTAGAGCGGGGTTTATGTCAGAACTGCTGTAGACAAGGAACCAGGTGGCTTGGTGACCACG